TCGTCATGTGTAAAGAGACAGTTTTACCGCAATGCTATTCCAATAGCTCTCCAGCTCCGCACGAGAGCCACTGACCCAAGAGGAAAGGGTGGTGCCGTGCAGTGGCATAGTCCATGCGCGTTCACGCGTTCTAGAGTCGGCACAGCGGACAAGAAACGAGCGGAGCAGGTGTGTGCTTTCAGTCTGGGTTCACTCTCTCTCTCTGTCTTTCTCTTTCGTCTCTGACTTTGATGGACTTACATGCACATGTTAGTGTGTAACTGCGGTGGATGACTCCATATGCGTGCTTATTACTAGGGGTAAGAAACGCTTGTTTCACGGACACACACTGACAGAATCACAGTAGCGCATAGAACGAGCAGTTTGAAATCACAGATTTAAGAAACAATATTTTAGACGCAGAATTAGAAGACAAAGTACAGAAACAACATTTTAGAGACTAACGACACATTAAACACAGTTAAACAGATACAGATTTTTGAGGCATGGCATTCACACGAGAGTCAGTTTTCAATTACAGATATTAGGGATGGAGGCAGAGCGTTTCAGATACATAATTCAGCTGCACATTCCAACAGCACATCATTCTACCTGGAGATTTCAGACCACAAACCAGTTATAGAACATGTTTAATGGAAAAACTATTTGCTAAGCTGAACTGTTTAAGAATGATGACCTCAAAACACAATGTAGCTATCAGATTGTAACACTTTCTCATCACCATTTTTTATTCTCTGATGTTTGCTGTACATGGTGTTACAGTAGCACATCTGCACATTTGGATGGTGCTGTATCTCAGCCACCTTTTTAGATATTTTGCTCTGGGATTCTGATGTGTTGTAGCCTAATAGTTGACCCAAAGTGTAGTCAGAAGTGATATAATTGTGTCAGTTTTGTCCTAATACCAATGCTTTGGTGTGTGAATTGAGTTTGTGCAAAAAGTGAAACTGATTACCCGTAACTCAATATAGCATGACCTTCCACAACAACAAAGAGCGCTTGTGTCCCAAAATCCTACGCCAAGATCCTTTGGCTTAATTGATTAACATAACAATTAATAGGCTTGTCATTACCAGCTCATTAGTGAGGTCCAGTAAGCGGTGGAGGTAATGACCGATCTGTGTACCGATGACGGTAAAGTGTGTGGCTTTGCATTTTATTATACAGTGATGGGATTATATTTTATTTCATAGGAATTTCAGCACTGTGTCCACAATTATCTTATTCAATCATAATTTTGTGCAATGCGAAGTCTGTACACAGCTTGTGTTAGATTTTATATTAGAATAATAATAATTCACTATGTTGTACTTTTATGCAAATATTTTCATTAAAAAATACATGTATGTAATCTTTTTATAGTAGTTTCTTTTTATAGTAGTGGAAATTGTGTATTTATACTGATGAACTCACTGAAGTAGTTAGATTAAATTTCTTGTTTAAATGGTGATGTTTCTAGTTAAATCGGATGAGCTGACTATGGCCCAAGGATAGGATGTTAATGTGTCAAACAGAGAGAATAGAGGTGCTTTAATCTCTTGTGATATTGTGTGTAGGATGATGTAATGACAGTAAAGTGAGAGGATTTATTTCCCTTTCTCTTTATCTCGTGATCTGTATTACACATTCATTTAAATACTGTTCTTGTGGGAGATTTACTAGCAGGTAAGGTCACTCCAGATCACGCCATTGACCTCACACTGAGAGATGTGTGTGTTCAGCAATGGAATAGCTCCACAGTTATGCAATCACAATCAATCAAATGTAAAGGTTTTCAATACATTTACTTGATTAACTTATATATAAAGATGCTTCATTGTAATTATAATCTATTAGCTACTTTCTGACATGTAGCACATGAAACTGAAAGCTTTCAATCACTGCGCTACCAGAATTAAGGCAATAGCATCTCTGGAGGGAAACCCATGAGGCAAATAAACCTCTCTCGGAAGTTACTTAACTTAAATTCCTCATCATTCATATTTAATGCATGATTTATGGCTCATTCTCAAAGTCTATGGCCTCAGTGTGTGCCAAACTGCCTTAAATCGGCATTTTCAATGAGAATGTAATCTGCAGGAATGTGTAGAGCAGAACTTCTGTAACACACAGACAGACAGACAGACAGACACATGCACCTAGTGTCGGTGTCAAAAAGGTGTGAAGTGCTAAAGAAAGCATCTCTGTGAACTCAACGCTGAGTGTTTGCATGATGAGATCTGCATGCCTGAAGCCAAGGTGCCTGTGTACATTTGTCTAATGTTACTGGGTAGAGATTCCCAGAATAGTGCCGGATAAAGTGCAGATTACTTTCTAGACCCACTATATCTGTATAGGACTGAGAAGCATATTGAGTGGATACAAGGGAAAGCCTCTGATCAATACTTTCAGAGAAACCTTGGCCCTGCGTCCCGATGATGATGGATATCGACTCTTAAGAGCTTTCTCATGCAAGGTTTTTGAATGCATTTTACATGAGTCATATTTATTTATCTGGCAGATAACTTCTATTTAAGATAGATTGAATTAATTTAAATCAAATTTCATTTAATATATTTCATACATTGTATTTTTTGGATTTAAATTGTATTATTTTAATTGAAACTAAAATACACATGTAAAATAAACATAAATCAACATATATTCTGGCCGCATACAATACATTAATTTTGCTGTCCCATGCAGGTGATGCACTTAGCAACTAGAGTACTTATCGATCTACAGTGATGTTAATTGCTGCTATTTTAAGTTATGATGCTATTGGGAAACAGGCCATAAAAAATTAAGATGGTTTTATGGTTTCTACAATTATTTTGAACCATGGGGTCCAGAGCATTCTAATTTTTGGTTAGAGTTTTGTTTGCACATTCCATTTATCATCTCCAGATAAAACTAGTGCTCCCATTTATTGGGCAAATAGTAATAGAGTAGCAGTGACTGCTGTATCGACCCACAAATAATGTATATTATTGTTTACAGTATTTTATTAATATTGTTTACTATATTAAATGTTTTTAATCATCAAAATGAACGCATCTTTTTCCGAGTCAATTCATTCCTTCCGTTCGTTGAATAAAACAAATGACTCGGAAAAAGATTTGTTTTGTTCATTTTAATGAACGAGTTCGAACAGGAGAGTCACAATGCGTCACAGTACAGAGCAAGGCGACCATTTGAGCTTATAAAACTTAAACTTTGTTTTTTAAATGAGCGATCATTTCCCTTGATAGATCCTTTGTTCATCGTCTGGAATCTTTTAAAGCCCTTTGAACAGTTTGCAGTTTGCACTGAAAGTGTATTTTGGACCTTGAACCATTTGGTTCCCATTGAAGTGTATATCGAGAAAAATGCTGGAATGTTTTCATCAAAAACCTTAATTTCTTTTCGACTGGAGAAAGAATGACATGGACATCTTGGATGACATGGGGCTGAGTAAATTATCAGCAAAAGTTTTTTTCAAAAGTGAACTACTCCTTTAAGAACTAGATGATTCAAATCTAGTTCAATAGATAAAAATGATCAGGCATCAAGCTTTTATATTCTTTTTTGGGATTTTTTTTTTTATTGGAATTAATTTATTTTTACCTGTGTCAAGTTTCTTTTATTTTGGTAAATTGATTAGTTACGGTTTTGTATTTGTTTTTTAAGTTTATGCTGTGTCATAGTATAAAGTTCTCTGATGAACTGATTAAGTTAAATAACATACTGTAAATAAGTGGCTTTCCACAGCTTTCCTCTTAGCCATATGTTGTTGTCTTTTATGTGTAATGTATCCTAGAACAGTTCTCATTTGTATTGTTCCTAACTGTAGTTTTATCAGGCTACTGGAACATTTACTTACCATTACATCATTGTTGTGCATTGTATCAGCTTGCAGCTTGTTGTGATAGCAGAGTCATGACTGGTATGTACAGGACGTGTGATCGCGTCCTTTTTCATCTAGCGCTGACCGGCCAGCAGATTGTTGTATCAGAGGCAGTGTCATGCATCACTTAAGTCTAAACTCACACCAACCCACTTACAGATGTCTAATTCTCTACACCTCACATTGACTGATCATATAAGGACATTCAAAATAGTTTTTGAATTTCATTAAACATTTTATTAAATTAGCTGTGCCATGACCATGGAAAACACTGCAAATAAGGGCAACAGAACTCAAAGGGTTAGTTCTCCCCAAAATGAACATTCTGTCTGTAATTACTCACCCTCATGTTGTTCCAACCCCGTAAGACTTTCGTTCATCTTTGGAACACAAATATAAGATATTTTTGATTAAAAGCTGGATCACAGGTTTCTAGGGATCAAAACTTGCCGGCCCAGAAAAGTTAAAGACATTTTTAAAATACTCCAGGTCATGGCCGTCCATCAAGAGTCCATCAATGGCCGATGCAAGGTAGCCGCCAATTTGGCAGTGAGATTATGAATGGCTTGGATATTGAAATATAATGATTTGAAGAGCAAGTACACTTTTTAATGGAAAGTTTATCAAGCGTCAAGAATACTTTTTTGTGCAAAAAAAATAACAAAAATAATGACTTTATTCAACTATTCATTTCTTTCTCTGTGGGCCTTGAGATTTCACGTAGTGTAACTGGACAGCGATTCTTGGTTGTACTTCACACACATGACCAGCATCGGCCAAAAGTGAACCTACGGGAACAACACAGAAGCATTGCACAGTTACAGTACGTGAAATATCTCTAGACCCACAGTGAAGGAAATTAATAGTTGAATAAAGTCATTATTTTTGTTAGATTTTGTGCGCAAAACACAAAAAGTATTTTTGCCGCTTGATAAACTTAAAGATAGAGCCGCTGTAGTCACTTGGACTATTTTAACGATGTCTTTAACTTTTCTGGTCCGGCAAGTTTCAATCCCTTAGAAGCCTATGGAGGAGTAATCTAGCTCTCAGATTTAATTAAAAAATATCTTAATTTGTGTTCCGAAAATGTGTTCCATTTTTTTACATTGTAAATTTGGTAAAAGCTGTCAGGTTTTTATTTATTTATTTTTGTACACATATATATTTGTCAGTTGCTTTAACTTTGTTGTACAGTTGCTTACAGTCACAGTAAAAACAGCTATGCACACAAATTCACACACATTAGCCTGAGTTCTTAATCAGCATTTTGATGTGGTGATGAATGTGTCTCTTAAATGCTAGGTCAGTAGATTAGGCATATTTCTCAAACTGCCTTGTTGCACGTTAGAATCTCTCTTTGGGCCGTAATTTAGATGTGAAGCGGTCAAGCGGAGCTTACAGTGGATGTGAAGATGTTAGTTCACTGATTCTGAGATGACAGTTGGAGCCATGCAGACCTCATAGGGGAACTTTCTAGCCACTACAGAAGCATGTCCAACTACCAAAATAGACCGATCTGATCTCTCCCGTTTTCTCGCTAACCCCACCTATTTTTCGTTGTCTAACTCTCCTATCTCCCCGGAGTGGTGCTCTGCTCTGGATGGTAAGACTTGACAGTGATAGCCTGAATACAGAAGAAGATAAAATGAATTAAAATAAAGGATCAAAGTGGTTCAAGACAAGCAGAAAAGTACCATTCTGACATTTCCCTGACTTTTGAATGAGAGCGAGAGTGGAATTTATATGAAGGTAGGATCATGCTTGATCTGTGTCTCTGTCTCTTTCTCTGATTGTTGTGCTGATCACACATCTTAGTGAAATGACATTGTCTTTTCATGTATCTGACTTCATGTCTATTATGACTAAAAGACTGACAGATCACAGTAAAGTTTTGCTCCATTAGTAGAGCTAATATGGTGGTCTTGTGAATATATCCGGTTAATATTGTCAGAATGAAAGAAAGAGATGTCTCTGCTCCTAAACCTAGAGAGGCACCTACAGAGGCAGAGTAAGCACTTCCCACAGATCGATTGTTCCAAATGATGTATACTAATTGTGCTGCCTCCTCTTAAGATACCTTGTTTTAGACCAATTCTAAAGGAGATTCTAAGACAATCCATAAATGCTGATGAGGCATACAATACGTATATTTCTTTTGTCTATATGTTAAAATCTGGTATGTGTTCTCATATTATTGTAATTCATTATCATAATCTTAATCCAAATAGTTTTAACTTTTACTGCACTTATCTATAGCGGCTAATGAATCGGATGTATCGCACATTCACAGGAAATGACTTACTTCCTTGTTTGAAAATAAGGTGGAGAGTAGTATTGTGTTGTTATCTTACGCTCTATTGAACTTTATTGTGGAGTCTTCTATATGGAACACTATTTGAGGTGCTGCTTATGTAGAGCATTCTAACTTGGATATTATGAGTTTCCATAACACTTGGATGCTATTAGAAGGTAGCCGCCAATGTTGGCAGCGAGATTTTGAATGGCTTGGATATTGAAATATAATGATCTTTGCACAATCGCTGAATCATTTAAGTCAGAATTACAGAGCAAGTACACTTTTTTATGGAAAATGTTCAGAGATAGGACTGGTGAGTAGGTCAGCACAATGCAAGTCATATTGCTGCAAAAGCTGCAGTAGGCTAAGTCTCCCTGGGAGTATATGCAGCAATTCAGTCGGTTCCATGTAAGAGGAAGCTATACAGCAACTGAAGATACTGTAGCTGTCAGAATTGGTTCAGGGTGCTTCAAATACATTTATATTTACATGCAGTTATTAAAGGAACACTCCGACTTTTTGGGACTTTAGCCTATTCACCATATCCCCCAGAGTTAGATAAGTCCATACATACCTTTTTCATCTCCGTGCGTGCTGTAAGTCTGTTTGACGCACCCACCGCTAGCCTAGCTTAGCACAAAGACTGGATGTGACTGGTTGCAGCTTTCATACTAATCCAAATGAGTGGCAAAATAACGCAAACGTTTTCCTATTTACATGTTGTGATTTGTATAGTCACAGAGCGTGCAAATATCAAGGCCATATGAGACACAGACATCTTTTGACCGTATAAATACTATATTTTCTGAAGGCGAAGCACTGCTACTTGGGCAGAGTGATAACAATCACCTGAGACGCACCGTGACGAGGAGCAGAGAGTTCGCTTCGCTCAGCGTTGGAATAAAAAGTCAGCAATTACTAACGTTAGATAGAAAAGCATAGTTTATCATGGGTGTTTGCTTTATTGTATGAGCTGTGACAATAAACAGGGGAGACCAGGTATTACAGTACCATGTTTCATTGATTTCCAACCAAAAACGCACCCAGATTTATAAATATCACATGAATAAATAATTATTATTACAGGAATCAATATATTTTAAATGCAATTTATTAGCTGAACCAAATGTATTCAACAGTAGCCTATATAATATACAGTATTGCATTACTATAGGGTAGAATAAGGGGAAAGTAATAGCACAAATTGTTTTTGCACAATGAACTCACAGCCTATCGTACCCTTTTGCACGCTCAAGTTCGTTATTTCCATGGTTATTTCAAATTTAGGCTACTAGGCGCGCCGCGCGCAGGGTGCAAAGTTCAACGCGCTCATTTTTTTCCTAGCGCGTCCGCGCTGCATCAAGATAAAAACATATTCATACCCTAATCATATAATAGTGTCACTAACGTTACATTAGCTCTGGCTAATGGCACTGTTACAGTAGGTCATCTAAAAACATAACGGAACACTTACCTCAGCCGCAGGTGATCCACTTGTCCTGTCTGTGCTATCGATGGGATGGCCGTATCCTTCAGCACATTATGGTCCGTGTGGCAAATTCCATTTTTTCAAAATAGTCGTCCTCATTGAAATGTACTGAGCAAACATAATGTCCCTTGATAATCTTAGGTGTGTTTGGATAAATATCCAGAGTAAGTTAGCCATTTCTTCATCCAGTCAGCGTTTTTAGTTGGAATTCTGTGAAACATGGTATTACCTCCCCTGTTTACTGTCGTAGCGATTTACAATAGAGCGAAAACCCATGACTGTAAACTACGCTTTTACTATTTATAAATTGCTGACTCTATCACCCAAACACCGAGCGAACTCTCCGCTCCTCACCACGGCGTGTCTCAGGTGATGCGGTTATTACGCCGTCAAAGTAGCAGTGCTTCGCCTTCAGAGAATAGTTCCCAGGTTTTATAGGGTTAAAAGATGTCTGTGTCTCATTTGACTTTGTTATTTGTACATTATGTGACTATACAAATCACAACATGTAAATAGGAAAACGTTTGCGTTATTTTGCCACTCATTTGGATTAGTATGAAAGCTGCAACCAGTCACATCCAGTCTTTGTGCTAAGCTAGGCTAGCGGTGGGTGCGTCAAACAGACTTATAGCACGCACGGAGATGAAAAAGGTATGTATGGACTTATCTAACTCTGGGGGGTAAGGTGAATAGGCTAAAGTCCCAAAAAGTCGGAGTGTTCCTTTAATAATAGACATGTTTCCTTCCAGTGTTGCAAATTTAACTTAAAACATTTTCATCCCATGTGTTAAATGGGACAAAATCATCACTTACTGGAAAATTGGTGCTAAATGCATGGAAGTTCCTGCAATCGGGAAAGCCACTGTAGCTCTTCTTTTGTACATCATCAATGATTTGCGCCTCAGAGTGGGCAGATGAAATGCAATAAACACTGGCATGTTATCTTGCATTTGGAGGCATGCTGACTTGTTTTATGGGAGGTAATTATACTCAACCATTTTGATGACAGTCTTTGGCTCAGGTATTTCAGAATGACCAAACCAACATTTTAGATACTGTGTGTGCAATAAAATTGGTTCCCTGATTAGTCCAGCTGTCCAATCACATCCTATGTTAAAGGGAATTTCTTTTTTTTTTTCTTTTTTTGTGTCGAGGGATTTATTTGGTAAATGTGTTTCCATTGTAGTTTATGTGCATGTCTTCCTATTGGATAAAAAAAAAAATATCAGTCTCAATTGTGTGGATATGCTTTTTTGAAATTTTGTGAACTGTTAACTTATTGTGATAAACTCTTTAACACCACAATGATGTATGTATTAACTTATTAAGTGGATCTATAGTTTTGTATCATATTTTCTTTCCCTCTTTCTTTCTTTCTTTCTTTCTTTCTTTCTTTCTTTCTTTCTTTCTTTCTTTTTCTATTTTATGGGATATACTATACTGTTTGCGACTTTGTGTGCATTGTTAATTGTTTAGATATGTAGCATTTGTTTCCATAAATTATTATACTCTAAAAATGCTGGGTTGTTTTAACCCAATTTTGGGTCAAATATGGACAAACCCAGCCATTGGGTTACATTGTTAAATTACGTTTTGTAACCCAATGTTTGAATTCATCCATATTTTACCCAAAATTGGGTTACAACAACCCAGCATTTTTTTGAGTGTATTATTCGTTTTTGTTTTAATTTTGGCCTTTATTTATGAAATGTGTGGAGAACAAATTGCTGCATGAATCAGTCTGTTCTTACAGTATAACATTCAATTTAACACAACAATTTATGCAAGAATGTTTTACAAATGTTTTCCATTAATTTGGGAGCACAAAATGCTGTAGGATGGAAGCTGTCTGTGCGCATGTAGGCTACTATACGTGTGTGTCTTTAGTTAGTCTCTTGTGTTCTGGAATGTCACCTTGACCTCATCACCCTTAAAGTACATAGAAAGTGAAATCTCTGATTGTATTACACACACACACACACACACACACACACACACAAACACCTGCACCCAACACTGATGCATATCGTTCTCTCCCAGTAACAGATTCTTTGTAATTTAAATGATTTATCTAAGTACAGTAGCAGATCTATAAAAAATAAAAAAACTTGGTAACACACACCAGCACATTCTTTGACATTCTCTGTGTTTGTGTATTAGAGATACAGTAAATGGGAAGAGCGGGAGGATGTGTGTAACAGCTCTTTGTGCATTTTCCCTCTCTTCCTCATTCCTCTGTTTGTGTATGATTAGTTTAAGCTCACTAGCTCTCACCACAACAAAGGCCTCAAAAGGGAGCATAGTGAGTTTGAGTTTCAGTGGTCTGAATACTTGGAAACCTGGCCAAACAGGGCATGCAGGAAAACACACACACACACACACACACACACACACACACACACACACACACACACACTACTGTTCAAAAGTAATGGTACTTCAGAAATTTTTAAAAGACTTTAATTCTCAAGAATGCATGTAATTCAAAGAGAGTAAGGATTTTTACAGTTTACATTGTTATAAAAATGCTGTTCTTTTGAACTTTCGATTGATGAAAGAGTTCTGTAAAAAAATACTATGCATTTTAGATTAAGATGCATTAAGATTTTCGAATGATCATGTGACACTGAAGACTATAATGTCATGTAATGAAAGTAATGGCTGCTGAAAATGCAGCTTTGCCACCATCATGGGAAAAAAGTAGCCTACATTTTATTTATTTTATATTGTTATTTCACAAAATGTACTGTATTACAGATCAAATAAATTAATAAATAGTTAAAGAGACTTACTGTAAAAACCACTAAAAAAAATCTTACCGACCCAAAACATTTGATTGTTAAAAATGATCAGTTGAACCAATTGTATGCCCTCCAAACACCTGTAGAAATATATTTTTGTAGATGATTGAGTTGAGCATGCTTTTAGACAGGACAGAGGACAGGGCTTTATATTTAGACTCAT